ACACCTTTACGGGCAGGAGCAGCCCAGCTACTTGCCCGGCGTTTACAGCAACCTCTCGTCTTCTTTAAACGAGGACAAAGACCCTGCGTGCCCCTCCGAGCCGTGTCCCAACGCCACGCAGACTTTCGACTGGATGAAAGTGAAGAGGAACCCGCCCAAGACAGGTGAGTTTGGGGAGCGCAGAGCGGGGCGAGGATGGTCCCCAGCCGGGGCAGAAGGGAGGAGGGGGGGTCAGCTCCCCAGCCCTGCAAGGAAAGGTTGCCTTCCCCGGGGTTTGTACCCAAGGTAATTGAGTTCATCTTCCAGGGGAACATGGATTTGTTTTGCTTTGGTTTTTTTAATTTGTTTAAACATCAGTTCAGCCCTGAGGAAAAGCCAGCTAGAGATTTTCCAGACACGTCTGACGGAGAGTCCCTGAGCACAGTTTCCCGCAGGCCCAGTGCGATTTAAGCCCAGCTTGGAATAGGAAACGCTCTGGGCTTCCTGCTTCTTCCACAGTCGTGGCTTCCATCTCCCCTATTGTTTAACTTCCTTCTCCACAATCTTCCTTAAATCACAGTCTTCCCTCCTCCCCCCATCATCACCCTCGCCCTCCCCTTCCAATCCTTCCCACGCACGTTCAAGTTTCATGACAGTTTGCAGGGAACTGGGTGGGGGGGAGGTTTGCAAGGCAAAGGGGGCAGCTCTGGAGAGCCTGGGGTGGTCTGTCCCTCCAGGTTGTGTCCATGGGCTGGGAAGCCAGGAATAACTGAGGATCCGGGAGGGAGCACGAAGCTCCGGGTGGTGGAGGGACCAAATGCCGAGGAGAGGAGAGCGGGGGGAAAGCCCACAGCCCCCCCGGCGGAATTTCTCTGTCTGCTCCTGCCCTGTCGGTGTTTGTTCGTTAACAGCTAAAGTGTCGGAGTACGGACTGCTGGGCCAGGCCAACACCATCCGCACCAACTTCACCACCAAGCAGCTGACGGAGCTGGAGAAAGAGTTTCACTTTAACAAGTACCTCACCCGGGCCCGGAGGGTGGAGATCGCCGCTACCCTAGAGCTCAACGAAACCCAGGTCAAGATCTGGTTCCAGAACCGGCGGA